AAAATCTTCTTACAGTTGATAAATATAACAGCAATTAAATTAACAGACATGGTATTAAGTGAAAGACTAAAATTTAACTATACGAAATAAAAAAATAATAATTCCAAGACCGTCGTGATTGAAACAAACAAATCATATCTTGTTTCTAGAAGTCTGCTCTGGTGGCTTAGCGATAACGTGTCCATTTCGTAAGCCTAAGTTTGCGGATACGAACCCGACTGCAGTCAATAGATTTTCTGCATACAGAAATCATAGGCACGCATGACATGTGAACATGTGGCATGTAAAAGATTCCTTGAGTATCAATTTGACCCTCGCATTCTCAGAAAAATTAAACCACGTCAACGTTTGGCATCCGACAAGAGCTTAAATTAAAATTAATTCAAGTGCCTAAATTTGGGTAGCAAAACCTCCACTAAGTACCACAAGGAAATGACTCTCACATTTTAGGCCTTACCGTGTATTGAAAGGCTAAGTTGTTAAAATGCAGCCCTATTGCAAAAAAAAATGTTTCTAGAAGTGAAATTTAGCTGTAACCTGATAACTTACAAATATTGCTCAAATATGGAAATATCGAACAATTTTTAGAACCATTTTTCATTTATCATTAATGAATTTGTCTTATGAAACTGTTCTTTTCCAAGTTATTCCTATTTTATTTGCATTGTAATATATATAAAGAAGCTTGAGACTGCTAAGTCTATATTATATTCATCAAAGAGTTAGAAGGCTAGCATTGATTTTAAATTACTAATTAAGTAATATAAGTGTAAGAAATGAACTAAGGCATGCAATACAGTCATTTTGCCATTTAAAACACCTTTTGAGAATTTTGGGAAAGTGTTAAGTAATAATCAAAATCAAATATTTTCATAGATTATTTATATTTGTTATAAATATATTCAATAGTTTAATCAAAATATTTTCAAAAGTTTTTCCTAAAAAACAAGAATTCCTAATTGTGTTGCTGTTTTTTAAGCCACTTTATCGACAGTAACATCATATCAAGGTTTTTAATTGCAAACTATTTAATTATACTAAAAAGGTTTCATACGCAACAATATTTCAAAAAGCTGCACACATATAATGGGGAAAAAACACACAAACACACACACACATACATATATCTATATATATATAGAGAGAGAGAGAGAGATTTACCTAATGCGATCGAATATTTGAAAATTTAGAGTTATTGAAAACATATTACATTTAAGAATACAGTAATAAATCCTGATCAGGAACAAAGAAAAATATTTCAGTTAAATTACATTTACATGCATAAGCAAATTGTTTTAGCTAGGTAATATTTCTATTCAGTAAATGATCATTATGATAGTACTGCTACTAAATCAAAATTATTACTTCTATTAAATTTATAATGATATTAATGATATGTAAAATAGAGTATCAGGCATAATTTATGAAAGAAAACTTGCCGGTGCAGATTTCTGTGGCCTTACTGCTGTTATGTAATCATATGGATAGTCTTTTGACTTGAAAAATTCGTATGTGGTCTCATCCTTCCCATTCATTTCACCAGTATCAGCGATGTAAACTAAAAAAAAAGAAAGAAAGAAAAAAAGGAACTTATTTAAAGAATAAACAGAGCCCATCTCTACATTAATTAAATATCACTTTGCGGAGAACATGATATTTAATTAAATTAAGTCATTCAGAGATTCACTTTTGTTGATTAACTGTAAAAATAATGTATGATGAAAGCATTCTCTTCTAGACGAGGTATCCACATTAACATTGAAAGACATAATTGAGAACAGAAATTCAAATAAAAGAATGTAAATTGCCGGGAATAACTAGAATGCGTAAAATGTTTTCTCAATTAAATGTTTTTGACTATAAATACCTTACCTTGAGTATCATTAGTGTTCGGTATGACGTCAGGGCTCTCAACCGTCGAATCTGGAATGTCATCGCTGTCTTTTTTAAGGGGTATGTCACATCTGGAAAGACAAATAAAATTAATTAAAGAAAATATGTTAAGTATTAGAGTAATAAAAAATGAGAAATTTAATCTGCAATTGTAATGAATCTATTTTTTTAAACTTACTTTATTACGTTATCTTGAGTCGGTGGTCCTGTAAGAGAAAAAAGAAATTATTCAGATTTTTCAGAATAAATCGATCTTCAAAATGATGCGTAAAAAGGAGTTTGAACACATTTATTAAACAAATTATAAACACTAATTCATGTGTATTTAACCAAAAAGAAAAAAAATCGATTTAAACTAATTGCACTGTGATAAATTTGAATTTAGTTATACACATATATTTTAGCCCAAATTACATTCATTTCAAACAATGTATAATTAAAATAACATGTATTCCTATTTTTGCTAGACAAACGTAAATACAAAAAGAAAAAAAAAATAGTATGCAGTAATTATTTTGCAATGTAGAATTACATAAAATGTTATAATTAATTTAATTCATGTATTATTTAACACATATAATTGATGATGAAAGAAAATTTAACTTTTTAACACTTAACATTAATGTATTTTTTTTTCTAATTCGAATGCAGTGTTCCATAATTTATTCAAATCTTTATAAACGGAACATAATTATTGACGAAAAATAATTTAGACAAAATATATGTATATTTTTTTTTACTTTCAGATATTAATTACTTATGCAAAAAGATTCAAAATAATGTAATTGTTTAACATCACACACACACATTCAGTTGAAAACTACTTTATTTTAGGTGTTTCCATTTTGCTGATGCTAATTTAATTAATAAAAAATTATTTTCAATAATCTTGGAGATTATTTCCTTGGAGATTAAAACTTTCTTATTCTTCATGCATAAAAAATATTTTGAGATATAAGGAAAATTACTGATTTTAATGAAGCAGACTTTCATTGGTTTAAAAATTGAGATCTTAATATATATTTTATCTGCAGTCCTACAGTAAAAAGTTATAATAAAAATTTAGTTATTAATTTAATTCTGAGTAATATTAAGCTTAAAAAAGAGAGAGAGAGAGAATTTATTTTACCAACTGTGTGTTGTACTACAAAAACTCTTTAATCATTTTTAAAAAAATTTAGATCTATATAAATGTATATCTTTCTCTTTCACAATATATATATATATATATATATATATATATATATAAAATATTTTTCTTTACTTCTAAGTTATAAATTATCAAATATCATGAGTAACATGAAAGTATTCTGAAGTACCTTCCAACTTTTACTCATCATCTCATTTATAAAAAAAAATTAAAAACTTATTTATTTAAAACAAGATTTATAAGTGTAATACTTTTTTTTGCTGATAATGATATTTCCTATGTATAATATAGCATAATTTAAATTTAAAACAAAAAAAAACCCCAATGAAATGTAGAGAAACTCGTAAATTCATTAAAATTCGCTTGTACATTCAAAGTACAGTAAATCTTTTAAGAAACTTCTGAATATTTTATAGGGAAATATTTCTAAAATAATAAAACTTATAATATTTACTTCTTTGAGCGTACATGGCATGTTGGAAAAATGAAATAGACTTTAAACCTAATTTCATCAAATCAAAAGTGGATACATTTTAATTTGTCTTTTTTTATAAATTTCAATTAAATGAAAATATAAATTTAAAATTTAATTCGTATGTGTAAAATTACGTTTATTGTAAAGCAACCATATTTAAAAAAAATTAAAAAAATAATCAGATCAGAAATGTATTTTTTGTTTTAAAATATTTGTACAATATATTGATAAAATCTACTTACTTTTATCCAAATCTCTTCCTTGTTTTCGCATTACTATAATGATTGCTATAGCCACAACTACTAAAACGGCAACCACACCAATAAGTACAGCTAACAAGGGGCTTACATTTGAAGCTTCTTCCTTCGGAGCTAAAACATACAAAATAAACTTTCCTTAATAAAGGTATGCCTACAAATAAAATAATATAAATTAAAGAAATTTTCTAATTGTTTTCAGTTCTCTCTCTCTCTCTTTGAACATAAAACTCCAAAGACATTCCAAATATATGTAAATACAATTTTCAAAATACAGTTATGTCTTTAAGCTAATAATTAATTAATGATAATCTAAAGGATATGAGCTGTTGTGGATGTTGCTCAGGCTATCATTAATCAAGTCTGCATTACAAGGTTCTGATATTTCATTCGAAAACAGACTATGTTTCATTCAATTAAAAGTTTCTTAGTTTACCTTTGATTAAAATTGAATTCTATCACCATTATTTAAGTATCCCCTCATTTATCTAATTAATTATGCTATTCCACAAATTTGAGTTAATTGAGGCGAAAATTGATTTAAACTATTAATAACAATGAATGTTTGTTTGTGACAAAGTTTACACTATAACTATGCCTTAGTGGGGGAAGAATTTTTAATTTTTGCCTTTTTTTAAATATTAATTGCAATAACTGGAACAAAACCTTACTTTGTTAGATAAATAACGAATAGTATATGTTGAGGTATAAGTATCATCCTGATATTGGAAACCAAATTAGGGAAGAAAGTTTATAACGGTAACCTTGAAACCACATTGTTCGTTTTAATTATAATTGAATCTAACAATAGAATCCAACAATTCGTTTTGATCAAATAAAGATCCGTAAAAGTTTTAATTATTTTAAACTACTTAAAATAAAGCAAAATGTATAATCCCAAATGTTTTAACTTACAAACTGATGAGAATGAGAGATAATTTTTATTCAAGATAATTTCTTCAAAATGTTTTGAGCAAATGATAGCTTTCTTTCAATTCCTACAATTAATTCACACTTCCCCTATATATATTTATTTATATTAATATCTTAGTAAAATGCTTTTTATTCATTCACTTAAGTTCAAATACATTTTTTAACTTGCAGTGGATGACACTTGATGTCAATACAGTTTTTTCATTAATTTCTATTTAATGAATGAATGCACAGAGTAACAAACAAAAATAATTGCCCAACAATATATATAAAACGGATAAGTGCTCGTTGTACCCCTGTAGCACAATAGATATTGCGTTGAACTTCTAATTCAAAGGTTGTGGGTTAGAATCCCAACTGGGATGACCTAATTTCTGAGAGTGCGATTTATTTTTACTATTATACTTTATTGAAATAATTGAATTTAATTAATGAATAAATAATAACAAATAAAAACAATAGTTTAACACCATCTATAGGAAGAAAAATAAAAAATTGCAAGGGGGAAATTGCTTTCTATTTTACCTCTTAATATTGTGATTCTGACATATGTATATACATATTTATATTAATTGTAATTATTTAATAAAAAAGTAACTAAAGTAAAATAATTTTTCTTTGTTGATCTAAGTAGGAATTGACTTAAAATACTTTTTTATGCATTTATATATATATATATATATATATATATATTTCTTGTTTTTAACACTCCTAACTTTTAATTATACGTAGTATAACCAAAGATACTTTCAAATAATTAAACATTTCCAATCTCTTAGTGTTAACTGCTGTAAGAAATTTTTTTGTGTGGTACGGAAGAAAGTTGGATGAACTCTTTGAGGAAAAAATACTTTTTTCACATGCTTGAGGAAATAGAAATTCCATTCAAAATTCTTAAATTTAATTCAGCATAATTTAACTTCACTAAATAACAGAGGATATAAACAATACATTTTCTTTACTTTAAGATAAATAAGATAAATAAAAGGTCTTTTACAGACTCTCACACATGACTTAAAAATATAAACGAGTGTTACGGGAAAAGTTACAGGAAAAAATTTTCATTATTTTATTTAAGGTATCCGTACACCTTCAAAACGTCATTTTCGTCAAATTTTTCGATTTTTTAATTTAAATGTTATTTGAAAATATGAACTTTTTTCTTTAAAATGGTGTTTAAATTTTGTTTCTATCTTATTTAGAACTTAAGTTATGGGGATTTGAGTTTCATTCGATAGCACCTTTTTGAACCCGGAAGTACAAGTCTGTATTGCGAAGTAGAAAAAATGTTTGTTGACATTTTTATTTTTCAAAGTATCGTTTAAATATGCGGTAGTAAGAAATTTAAACTTTTTAAAATATGAATTTGAGTTTTCAGAATTATCAAGAATATAATTGGCAACAGGTTTTTATTTATATTTTTATCTAGAATCTGGCAAGAAAATAGAGTGCTTTACTGTTTGTTTACATTTGCTTATGATTGCGTAGCTCTTTATAAGTTTTTGTTTAATCCTTTTTTATAGCAGAAAATTTTAATTTTTGTCATTTAAAATATGGGTAATGCTAAACGTAGAGTTAGTACAAAGAGAAAACGCCAATTTCTAGTAAATGGATCTACCATTAAACATTCAAAAAATAGCAGCGCAACATCTACCAACGCCAGTTCTTCAAAAATTAAATACCTGCTGCCTTTGATGAAGAAATAGCAGAATATCAACGTAAACCACTTACTGGTAACAGAATAATTGATATGGAAGTCCTTTTAAATTTGTTTTTACAACTTTGCTGCCCAAGATGTTTCGAAGAAGGTATCCTGCTTTCTGAGGATTCCACATATGGTTTGTGCTCAAATTTTGTTATCAGGTGTAAACATTGTGACTTTTACTCAGGGTTTTCTAGTTCAAAGAAAACTTTAAACTGTCCTGAAGTAAATACAAGATTTGTGTATGGTATGAGACAAATTGGGAAATGTTTTTCTGCTTGGTTTAAATTATGTGGTACGTTAAATTTACCCAGGCTCAGTAAAACTTCGTACACTAATCATGAGAATAAACTCATGTTAGTGAACTATCAATGCAAAAAGCAGCTTCTGAACTGTTAGTGCTACATCCTACTAAAAATAAAATTGTTGAATGTGGCATTTCAGTTGATGGAACGTGGCAGCGTAGAGGTTACTCTTCCATGAATGGGTGTGTCGCAGCTTTGTCAGTTGACACTGGTAAAGTAGTAGACATTGAAATAATGTCGTCATATTGTCCCACCTGCAGAAAGATTTCTAAAATGCCTAGAAGCATTGAGTCGGAATCTTTTGCAGGAGATCACGTGTGCCATAGCAATTTTCAAGGTTCTGCGTTAAAAATGGAAGCTGTTGGTTCTACAAGAATCTTCCAATGTTCTATTGTCAAACGAGGCCTTAAATATGCACATTATTATGGTGACGGGGACTCTAAGGGTTTTATCAGTGTCAAAGATACTTATGGGAAGGATAGCGTCACAAAATATGAATGCATTGGTCATGTTCAAAAGAGAGTAGGTGCAAGATTGCGCAAACTAAAGTCTAAAAATAAAAATCTGTCTGGTAAAGGCAAACTCACCGACTCTTTTATTGACCGATTGCAAAACTATTATGGGATTGCTGTTCGTAGCAATGTTGGAAACCTATACGGTCTTCAGCAAAATGTTATTGCGGCTTTGTTTCATTGCTCATCAAGTGTCGAGAAACTGATGCATGGGCAGCGTCCCATCGGAAAAGATTGTTGGTGCTACTACCAGTGAGCACTGTCTTGTGGCAAAAAGCCAAACGAAAAATATAAAGGCTTATCAAATGAAGTACTAAACACTATTAAGCCTACATATTTAGAGTTGTGTACCAAAGAACTGCTTACTAAATGCCTGCATGGCAAAACACAAAATTCAAACCAGTGTTTAAATGGCGTTATATGGCAGAGAGTACCCGAGGAAGTTTTCGTGTGCCTCAAAACTTTAAAATCTAGTGCATTGGATGCTGTGATCCAATTTAATGATGGATACAAGGGTTGTGTTGAAATTTTTAAAAAACTTAATATAACTCCTGGTTAATTTTACTTTAAAAGCATACAAACATCTTGACATCAATAGAATTAACGACGCAGAACGACATTCAACACCAAATGTAAAGCAGCGTAGAAAAATTTTAAGAGCTACAAGGAAATAAAATCAATGTTTTAGAGAGTAAAGAAGGTGTTACTTATAAATCAGGAGCATTTTAAGTATATCAAATTGTGTTTAATATTAAAATTTGCAGTTCAAAGTTTATTTCTGATTTATCTCAAAATGAATTTGTTTAACGTATTGACATCTGACAACGTAAATATCAGAAAAAGTTGTGAACCAAATTAGTTCAAATTTTATAAATATATTTGTTTTATAGACTTAAAGAATCCCTACTACTTTCATAATTATATAGTTGATATGTTTTTAGTAACTAAGGTATATATCATGCTCGTAATAATTTTTTAAGGATTTTTCAATGTTCTTTTACTCGAAACTTGATAAAAATTGTAATAAATTGATTATCATCAGGAAAATAGTACCAGCCCTAAAAAATGTTATAATGATCATCATCAAATTTACAGAAAAGGGATATTTTTGTTTACATTTGAGTTATGTGCGTTATTCTAATAATCAATTTAATTTTTATTTACACTATGCTTTACTCCCTAAAATTTTTTTATGTACTACAAGTAACATATTAAATGTATTTTTCATAGTTTTAAGTTATATTTCATCAGTAAAAAATATTTTAATAGCAAATATTACAGTTTTTAAAAAAAATTTCTTCGAAGGTGTACGGATACCTTAAACAATTTTCTTTTTCTAATAATATCCTTTCTCAAACTTGCTCAATCGCTCTAACAGATTTACAAGATATTTTACTCTATATGTTAGAATGTCTAATTGGTTACTTCTAGGACCAAATGAATTTTTTTTTCTTTTTATGTAATAAGAAACATTGATAGAGATCTCCCATTTTTTTTCATTATATATATGTATAGACAAATAATTAATTTAATTCTTACTATCCGAAGTTTTCTACAGAAAAGTAATATCTTAAAAGTTATCTCTTGCCCGAGTTCATTTGTAAGAAAATAAAACGTTATTGATATAATAGCTGAATTGTAAGGAGAGCAAAGCCAAGTGCTCGACAATGTTTACAAAAATGTAAAATGATCTTTTTAAAATGGTTGCGCAAATTATAATTAGTTTTAAGCGAATTGTAATTTTAAGCCTCACAGAATTAGCATTTATAATTGATGTTAAATAATGAACAATAATATAAATTTCCGATGAAGAATAATTGTATTATTTTTAATATTTAAAGCGAAAAGACTTCAACATGTTTTAACCCGGGAGCAGGCGCGCACTCGATACGGTCAAGCGGGGCTATTGAGTCACCCCAATCCTTTTTTTTTATAATTATTTTATTGTACACGATACAAATCATGATTCCAGTGAATAATTTAACTAAGAGAAACTTTACTTACATACTTTCAAGATCTTTTCAATTTGTCTTTGGTAACAAATAAACAGTTTTACCAGAATTAACGATTTCGTAATCTGTGTGACCCGCGCGACCACTTCCGGGTAAAAATTGTTTTCATTATGATAATATGTATGTTACTGCTAAAAAAAATGTGTAAAACATTTTTTTGCGTGGAAAAAAGCGCAACAAATACATTACTTACAACTTTCCCTAAATGAGAAACAAACACGCAAGAGAGGGGTCATAACTAACTGTACCAATAACTTAGAAGGTCATACAAATTACAGCTATAAAATGTGCAGTATTTAAAAAATAATGACATTGATGAATTTTTTATGTTCCTAAATTTCTTCGATTCTGGGTCTGGGATTTGTTTTTTCTCTGAAAGAGTTATATGTTAGGCTTAAAAAGAAAGCGTAGTAATAAAATCTCTCCTCATGGGATTACAGCAAATCAAATAAAAGTTTTTTATTTGGTTATAGGATCAAAGATAGCTAATTAGGTATTGAAGAAGTTTTTATTTTTGATGACTTAATATCGCGTGTGCCTATAAATTATATCTGAGTAAAAATGCATTTTTTAATATGTCTGAAAGTATTTTGTTTTAATTCATTCCAGTAAATTAATTATTTTTAAATCTTCTATTTTCGATATGCTCGCGCCCCCCTTGTAAGGGTATCGCCCCCCCCAGCGGGGCGCGCCCTACAGTTTGAGAAACACTGCATTACTGTATTGCAACGCAGAAACAATAATGCTTCATGTGATGGGTTTCACATGTAATATTTGACTAATAAATGTCATAGAATAATGTGACTTTGACCAGATGATGCGAAAAAAAATGAT